GTTTAATGGCATTAGGTAGCGTTTGAAGTAATTATGACTAGTATTCACAAATATAGTACTAGGATTTATGTGTCACTGAATTTTTCTTTTTTGAATCTAAAATGCTATGAATTGTAAGACAAATCATTATGTTGTAGAGTTCTACAAAATGAAAAAATAGAGCTAAATTACCCCTTTGGGTATGCATCTTGATTTTAGAGATATTAAAATTTGAAAAACAACATATGGTAAACACATGTAGCAGTAATTGTTACTATTGGAAGAATTATGAAGCAGTTGTGAGTGAGGGAAATCACAAGCACACAGGGCTGGTGGGAGTGGCAGCTGGTACATTCTTTCTGGAGGTCATTTTGGTAATACCAATCCAGAGTCGTAAAACCATTCATATATTTTGATTCTGTAATTCCTCTTAACCAAAAGAAATAGTGAGAGACATGCATACATTTAGGAGCCACTTTTATGTTTAGGCTCTATTCTAAGCACTTGCTATATATTAACAATTGTGAAATTCACATACTAACAATATAGAAATTGATTGTGATATATTACACACTGAAAAAATAGATTATAGACAAGTGTTTGAAGTATGATTCTAATCTGTGAATGTTGTAGAAACATTGTAAATACCCCATAGTAAGTGACTGGCATAATATATTTAGCCAGATAAGTTTTTATTTCCACTTGGGTTTTATTTTGTAAGTTTAAACCAGATTTGATTATTTAAAATGTAAATAACTCACATGGTCATGGTTCTAACTTGCTTACTAATCTTATGGGTCCTGTTTTTATTCTGTTTGTGTAAAGCTTTACTTGTTCTCAAAACAGTCCTAATTAGATTCTGAGCTTTGAGAGTCCAAGACTGGATACCTGTGATTCTGTTGAGTTAGCACTGGTTCTCAAAGCAGGGTGCCTAGATCAGCTGCATCAAAGTCCTCTGGAACTTGTCAGAAATGCAAATTTGGGGACTCTACTCTTTTCCTATTGAATCAGAAACACTGGGAGAAGAACCCAGATATTTGTACATAACCAAGCCCTTCAGCCATTCTCATGTGCTCTGAAGTTTGAGAAGCACTGTTATAACTCATACTCAGTTGGAAGGAAGCGGACTGTTTGTTGGGCAGCTACCAGGAACCAAGGAATCAGTCATCATAGTGGGCACCTCAACTACATAACCTCATTTAGTTAGTTAGTTAGTCAGTTATTTTTTAAATATGTCTTTATTGATTTCAGAGAGAGGAAGGTGGAGAGAGATAGAAACATCAACGATGAGAGTCATTAATCAGCTGCCTCCTGCATGCCCCCGACTGGGGATCAAGCCTGCAACTCAGGCATGTGCCCTGACTGGGAATCGCACCATGATCTCCTGGATCCTAGGTCCATGCTCAACCACTGAGCCACACCTGCTGGGCAAATTACCTCATTTAAATTCTAACAGTGTATAAGGCTGTGCCATTAGCAGATTCATCTCCTGACTAGATCTGTGCCCTTGGGCAAGTTATTTAATTGCTCTATTTCTCAGTTAATTTCTATATAAAATAGATGTAATAGAAGTGACTACCACTTAAGGTTGTTAGCAGCATTAATTTAAATTGACTAGTGTTTGAAACAATCCATAACACTTATAATCTTTATATGTGTTTGTGTTCATTATTATTATTATGGTCAAGAATCATTATTGAGGCCTCAAAAAGTTAAATAATTGGCCAGCTGTGACACAGCTAAAATTCGGCCATAGGTTTGATACAGTCTGAATTTGTTTCTGGGTTTGGATGAAGATACACATGCATTAGTAAAGGAAGAATAGAAAATTTGAAGTTGTTAACATGAAGAACTTTAAACCATTCAAAAACCTGTGAGCAAGTTATGTAATAGCGGGAGAGAGGGGCAGGTATGGAATGAGGTGGGACTGAGAATATTTCACATTAGTGGCCAATATAAAGAGCAGATAACTGCTGAGAAATGATAATAATGATGAAATACTAGCAACACATAGAACTAGTTGGGTGGTAGCACAGCAAAGACAAAAAGGGAACAAAAATTTCAGTATATCAGCTTTCTTTTGCAAAGTTTAGAAGCTTGAGAGGATTTTCGGTATCATTATCTAATTGAGGTGGTGGCCGGGGTGATCAGAGTGGAAGAGAGATTAAGCAGAGACAGAAAAGTTGTGGGGTACTTCATGTACGTGGTCTACGACTATCTCATCCTGGAGATACAGAAACTGCCTCAGAAAGCTTTAAAAGCCTTGTCAATATTGCTAAAATGAAGATCCTGATTCATATTTCTGCAACAGGGCCTGAGATTCTGCATTTCGAACAAGCCCAGAACTATCAGCGAGAATCTGTAGTTTAACAAGTATCCTAGGTGATTTGCACGTGCATTTGGTTTGAGAGGTACTGCTGTGTATCTTATTTTGCCTCTGAGCTGGGAATTGGCAAGAAAGTGGTAAAAGGGAAAGAATAGAAATACAGGATATTTTCCAGGGGTTTATTAAAGCAGCCAACCATGCAAAGTAAGTAGGTCCCAATATGCTGTATATTTTCAGATGAAGGAGTGATTAGGATCTAAGAGTCATGACGGCAGTCACAGGACTGAAGCTCAAAGCTTATCTGAGCTCCTGCAACAGTTGAAGTGACATGAAAATGAACGTTGCTATAGTAACCAATTAATTTACATAAAGGTTAAACCAATCCTGTGAACTTCCACACATTTTTTTAGTTTTTCCAGTATAACCACCTCCAGTAACTAAAGGACCATTATATGATGCTTGTAATTACAATTTATAATTGTAACTTTTTCTCAAATGTATGGGTAATTATAACGTGACAACTTTTACAATTAGCATTATTGTTGTTGTTTGAGCTTTAACAATTAGTTGAATGTCAATTTAGGAAAATTATGACAATGTCATTCATAAAAAAGCGTTGAGATGATCTCTTTGTAATTCACCCATTTATAGATTGAGACTATTGTTGCCAAACATACCAACACTGTAGGAAACATTTTTACAAAATTTCAGTGTTTTGAATAATTTGGAGAGGCAATTTTCAGGAGAGTGATGTGTAAGAATCAAAATACCAAATAGAAGGATCTCCACATTTTATTTTATTATTTCTTTTTTAACCCTCACCTGCGGTCATGCTTAGAGAGGGAAAGGAGAGAGAGGAGAGAGAAACATCAGTCAGTTGCCTTCATGGACATGCCCTGACCAGGATCAAACCTGCAGCACATGCATGTGCCCTGACCAGGAATCGAACCAGCACCCTTTGGGCACACACACTGATGCCCAACCAACTGAGCCACTCTGTCTGGGCAGGATCTATACATTTTAAATTAAGATGTAAATCCCTGCCCCTAAAATGGATTGTTTAATATTGTTTCTATATCTATTGAACACCAGAAATATTTGTAATAGGTACTTTCATTGGATACTTTTTAATGAGGATAACACTTTCTTTGAAGTTTTAACATTTTAGTGTTTTGTAAGCACAATTTCAAAAGATATTCAGTTACAAAGATGTTAAAGGCACCGCTGCCAAAAGGCTAAAACACAAATCTCAGCCTACAATGTTTATTGCCTACTTTTTTTCTTTCTAATCATGCATTTTGTTATGTAGCAGTTTTCAAATAATTTTCAGTTATATAATGAAATCCTCAAAAAAGTCCTGGGAGGTTAATGGTTTATCTTCGGCATTCATTATTAAAGGTTTCATTCCCCATCTGCGCTTCAGTTTGCAGAATAAGACCAATAAATATTAATATAAACATTTAAACCTTAGTAGTAGTGATATTTTGTTTTCCTCTAACATTTCATAAGAATCATATTAGAAACATTTTATTTCACTCCTCAAATGTTTTTTGTTTTCTTTTTAGTGTCAGAATTATTTTCACATATGATAATCCTTCCTAAGAGTTTAATATCATTCCTTTGTCACATAAACTATGTTATATAATGGTTTCTTCATTTACAGTAGAAAACAGTTGAGACAATTTGGTACATAGACATCTGAGGAAAACATATCCCCTAAACAACATCATTCATTAAGGCATTGATATAATAGATGCATTCTTTTATATAGTGTCTCTCTCCTATTAACTTACATTGCAATGTGTTACACAGTAGGACACCTGCCTCTATACCAGTCGTTCACGAGTTTTTTAAAGAGTTCATAAATATTCCTGATTTCTCCATTAAGGGTAGAGTTTAAATTTTCAGTTTGCTTCTTTTATTTATGTGGAACAGTATCTGCATAGAAATAAGCAAATTTAACAGCTTAATAAATGTGTTTTGATTAGTAAGTAACTACAGAATCAAAATGATAAAAAAATCACATTAACTATTAAATATGATCATGTGTGATGGTAACCAAATAGCTTGATTTAAACACAAGTGTATAAACCAATGTCATGTAATGTTATGGTTAAACTAAATATCTTAAACAATTTAAGATGTATACCGAATTATGTGGTACAATGCAGTCTTTAAAATTATGACAGAATATTTATATTCATGGGGAGTTATCTATTATACAATGATTAAAACAGATTAGGCAAAGATAAAAATAGGATTATGTTATGATAACCACATTTGTGTATGTTTGTGTGTGTATTGCATGTGTATATGGGTGTGTGTATATATTTGACACTCAATGTAACTGAGAAGCTTCTCTAAAATAATATATGCAAAATATATTTAGTCATTTATTCACTGTGATCTGGAAGCAAAGGAGACAATAAAAATTCTCTGCTTGTTTGTCATCCCTGCATTAGATTCCCAAATTAGAGTAATAATCTTAAATCACAATAGTTTGATGTGAGCGGAATAATTGCAATGCTATTTTACAAATATTATAGTCAAAATTGTTTGTTAAATTATATGTATACTAATTACACATGCACTATAATTTTTCATAATATTGAATCTCTATGTAACATTTTATGGTGCTTGAATTAAAATGCAATACTCGTACTAATAGAGAATGTTTTCGGTTGTACTTTTCTAGGTCTCAGGGTGGCGAATTTTTTTTGTGAATTCCTAACCTGTGAGCTTATGGTAAGATTTTAATTCCTATACTAAATTTTAGAGGTGTTTTTTTTTCTTTATCTGTTTGAGTGTTCAGTAAATGTGATAGTAAAGGGGATTTGTATTTATTCAACTGATACTTTACTATCCAATTTTATAAATATTGAAGAAACTATGTGATATTTTCTATCAAAATATTTATGTTCTTCGGTAGATAATAGTAATATAGTCACTTGATATAGTCTTTGATAAGTTATTAAGTGAACTTGAAGGCATCACTCAGAAAGGTAAAGATTCATACCAGTGGAAAACAGTTCTTTAGACATGAATGACAATTTTATATATTAAAAATTTTATAGTGAGGTCTACTTGATGCCAATGAACAGAGGCAATGAGTTATTAAAAGTAAAACTTATTTTATCATCTGTCAAGATTTATAAAAAAATTGGTTCTTCTATGAAAGCTTGATGTTAGAACTTGAGAGGATTGAAAGTAAAGTATGTAGCTATGGAAATGGAAATGATAAGAAATAACCAAAGACTCTAAAGTGACATTTTGGGCATTATGTATTTGTTGAATCTCTTTGGTTAAATGCATTCAATAACATTTGTAAAAATGTAAATCCAGATTACGTTTATGATTGACTACTACAGATTGTAAGTAAATACAAGTTTATTTGTGTTGTGAAACTGATGAAGTTATTGTTTTGTAAGACAATTTTCAGAATTTATCAGTTCCTTAATAGTAAACACCATAAAGATTTAGATTGTACTTGACATAAAATACAGACAATAGGGACATTTTTTTCATTCAGTTTATATTGGGGGAAAATGATATCCTTGGAAACACAAAAGCAATTGACAAAAACTCCTGTTGAGTTGGTCCTACAGCATCACTGAAATATATTTTGAAGAAGTTGTTTAGGTATCTGTAGGCAACTACCACCTCTGGGAACTCTAAGGCGTACCTTTTGGTTACATTTTTTTAGAAATACTCAACAAACGATTATTAAAAACAAACGTCAGATAGAGCAAGGGAAAATTCCTGTGCCCTACCAAGAGGACTTTGCTAATAATGGACGAAATTTTTATGAAATATATTATCTGGATATGCATAGAATAGTAATTTTATCCTCAAGAAGTACTTTTTAAGGTTTTAGCATATATTTTACAAATATACCTAAAAGAAGTTACTTCACAGATTATTTCAACTTGTACAATGTTACAGAATTTTTTTAGAAATTTTAATATCTTCAATCTTCTTCATCTTTTTATATATACATAATATACATGGAGAAAATTGCTCATATCTTAAGTACAGTCTCAGTGAATTATCACAAAGTGAACATACCCCCATAACCCACACTCACATAAATTAAGAGACAGAAAGATAGAACATTAAAGCACCTTGAAGCCCCACTCCCTTGTTTCTGTCCGGTTAACGGTACCCACAGAGAATAAGCATGATGCTGAGTTCCAGAAGGATAGATTATTTGCCTCTTTTTTATATTCTGTGAATGAAATCATCGCACAGTAGGGACTGCTTTGCTTCTCATGCTCAGCATCACATTTGTAAGACTATGTGCCGTGGAAAATCATTCATTCCTACTGCTGTGTAGTAGTCAGCTGTGTGAATGCACAAAATTAGGATTCTTTCCCCTGTTTATAAGCATTTGGGCTGCGTCCAGGCTGCAGCTCTTACGATTAGTGGCGGGAAGGACATCTGGAACATATCTTTCCGGGAACACATGTGTGTGTCTGTTTTTTGGGGGTGTGTGTATAGGACATGTTCTGCTTTAATAGATACTGACAGTTTACAAAAGTGGTTATATCAGTTTTTGACAGCAGGATTTGAGAGTTCAGTTGCTCCAGATACTCAGTAACACTTGGAATTTTTCATCCTTATATTTTAGCCATTCTGATGTGTGCATTGGGATATTTTAATTGGAATATCTTGAAGGCTAATGGTATTAAACATGGTTTTATGCTTATGTGTCAGATTCACGATTATTATTTGTCAGGTAGATAATTCTCTTTTTTTGATGTGTCTATGTCTTTTGACTTTTTTTACTATATTCTTTTTATTACATTACCTACCCCTATTTAATAGATACTTAAATGTATTATATATAGTATTTTATATATCTATATATAAAATGGGTATTGATTCTTCTTTTGGATATACACAGTGATACGTTGTATCTGCCTCAAACTGATTCACAAGATCCAACTGTTAGGACATCTATAATATTTTAAACAAAAATAAAATTTAAAAAATAAAATAAAATGACAGGTAACACATATATTAAAAAAAAAAAAGAATTTCCACGAGCTGCTTGGTACTTTGAAAACCTTCCATTGTAGAAGTATTTATACCGCATGCTTCGGCAAACGCTGAAAGCAGGGCTTTACTGTTTCTTCTGGAGAACTAGTTGTCAAATATTTACTAGCACACACCAGATACTCATTTTGTATAGTTTTCAATCATTCAGTGAGTTTTCTCCTTGAATAGAAATTCTTAATTTTAATTCATTCTGGTTTACTAGGTTTGTTACTTGTATGACTGGGGTTTTGGCCCTTTTTAAGAAATAGTTGCCCTTTCTGTGGTCTGTAAGATATTTTTCTTATGGATTCCTTAAAAGCTTTATTGTTTAAACTCTCACAGTGATTACCAGGTTTTAAAGATATTATTCTGTGTTGTTATCTTGTGCAGTCAATCTAGTTAGCTGTGGATTTTAATTAGAATAGTAATTGCTCTGTGTATATTTCATCATTTTACTGTGAAAGTAATATATAAATATGAAGCCACTGATACTTATGTTTATTTAATAATTTAATGCTGCTATTTATAAGCAATTTACAGTATTTTGTAAATTTAATATATGCATTCATGCATTGTCCACTACAGTGTCACACACTACAGTCAGTTATGTGGCTATTATTTTGAAATTAGTATTCAGCAGCGTAAAAATTTTGTATTTGAGTTTGATCCTAAATGTATTATGACAGTTTATTTTCATTATATATTATCAAATGAACCTAAAGTCTTCATACTAAATATTTTACAGAATCATTTAAAAACTCACAATCGTAGGTTAACCTTTAGGCATTCAGATGAAAGTATTTATTAATTATTAAAATCTATTTAATTGCTTCCAAAATATTATATTTAATGAATTACATAAACATAACAACCATGATAAATACAGCCTATAAGATTAACTACATGATGTTGTTGTATGCACTTCATTAAGATTTCAATTGACTTGTGATTTGTGTGTGTGTGTGTGTGTGTGTGTGTGTTTGTGTCTGTGTAATTTTCAGTGAAAACCAGCAGCACATCACATCACATTCTTGATTTGTGCCTAATAGGAATGATAGTATAAAAATCAGTATTATTCCTTCCTTAAAATTCTGATTCAATTATGCAAATGTGTACATGTTTGGCAGGCATTGTATTGTCTTATTATGCATGCTTTTTGAATTGCATGTGTTTTTCCTCTTGAAGTGATCATCTTGATTTAAATATACTCAGTTATCTCCATAATGGTTGAAATATTTGAAAGATGTAATAAAATATGATGGAATTAAATAATTATTTTCAAATGGAAAGTTTAATAGTTTCAAGATGTGCATGTCAAATTTAGACTATTTTTAAAATCTCTGCATCCTTAATCCAAGCCATTTCATTGACTTCAGAGTAACTCATAAATTAAACAATGGAGGTACAAACTAATTAATATGTTGCTTCAATAATTAGCTATTATTTTTCAAAACTTTATTATGAAAATTTGATGAGAAAAAATTTAGGCTTATAAATTTAAATTCTTGAAACTAAAGAAAGGTGGTATTTCATTTATTTTCACATATTTGGAGAGCATCTGTTTTAGGTAAAGTGATGTAATATAGAGTATGTACTAATTAAAAGCTAATTAGGTGATTTTCACTTTTATTAAAATACTAATCTCTGTGGTATAATTAAAACAGGAAAAACAAAAGTGAAACACAGAAAGGTATCTTGAAGGTTAATCCAAACACTCTAAATAGCATTAATAGCTATCTCTGACCCTATGCTAGCCATTTCAAAGAGCTAAGTAATGAGTTCAACTGTAAAATACAGCACAGGTTATATAGGCAAATATTTCAGGATTTAATTCATAAAGGTGTCCCTGAAAGTAAATGATAGTTAAAGGCGAAAAATTTAGTCAATAGACACAGTCCTCAGATACAAGTAATTGATGCTAGTTTAAATATAATTACTTCATTTTCAGAGATGACAGAGCTTGGGGACAAATAAAATTCAAACATAGGCAATTAGCATACTGCATGAAGGGAAATTGTAGAAAATGAAGAATAATTAACATGTAAAATATTTTATTATGAATGACTTGAATCCAAAATTAAGAGATTGAATTATGCAGTAAAATTCTAATTTGAGAGCGTAAACACACTTTAAGCAGCCCAAACAAAGAAACAAAACAGTAAAATACAGTCAGAAAAAAGATGTAAATAAAAAGTTTTGGTAATATAAATGAAGATTGAACTTCAGAATAAAATAACTGGAAACACAAAATACTCTATATATTTATTTTAGTTCCTATTCAATGATATATTTATTTCACTGAACTGTTAGAGTTTTATGATTTTTTTTCTCCCTGAAAAATAGAAATGTTTTCTAGTTCCTGGCACATTGTCTGGCAATAGCAGGGAAGTTCTGGGTTTCTTTGGCTGAATCGAACATTTGTTTTCTCAAGCACAACCCATTTCCAACTTTCTTC